TGTTATGGCACGTAATATGACGTACCATAAGATGACTCATGACATAGGGTCTTTTCCATATGTTCGTTCTCTTTCTTCTCTGATATACATATGATTACTATAGATATCACTCATTCTCGATCCTAATAGGGATTTTCCAGAGAGCTTCATCTAGGTTTCTTGCCTTGTAATAACATCTTTGGAGTTTTACAAGCTTAGATGAAATCTATTTTAGTATATTCCAACTAGGTGTGCGGCATACTATATAAATAGCTCTCGTCTTTTATGGAAGTGTGTCTTGCTTTACTATTTTGAAATAAACTAGTTCTACCACACTATACGGACTTAACATTTATACAACAATAATTTGAATCTGGTATGTGTATAACAAAGCAAGTATATTGATAAGACGAATGAATAATTCTTAAACTTAAAAAGCGTTTATTACTTTAAAATGAAATAATCAGATGTCTTCTATTAGAACAAGACCATATGGAGCAAATAAACGGTACTAATGAAGAGAACCACTTTGTGTTGATACATCATTTGTTTTAGTTGCATTATTTAGCTGAGCATTCGTTATTGACATATTCGAATTATTCTTATCTTGCTCTTCTTCGTCTTCGTCATCCTCATCATCGTCGTCGTTGTCGTCATCTTCACTATCAGGATCGTTGTCCACTTTTTCAAGAAAGCGAAGACTTTCTTTTACCTTTTCAGGTACTTCCCATATTTTGTCTTGATCATTCTCTTCAAGTAATTTAATCAATTTATCCATTAAGTTATATTGAATCAGTAGTTGAACATTACTTAGACGATGAAACATGTCATCTTTGATTAAAACACGTCGTTGACAACGTATTTGAGCAATTCCCAGGTCAATCAATCCTAGAGTCGGATCCTGCGAATTCCTACAGGATTTGATCGGGTGCCGGGGAACGGAATCGTATTGGGTTCCGACGGCTTTTCGGATCCTATCGGATCCAATTAACTTGATCCGATAAAATCCGACAGTGGGTACCGACCGGATCCTACTAACGTGAACCGATGAAATCCGATACTGAAATATTTTTTTAGCGAATATGCAGAATCGAATTGCATGCAGTGGCGACAAAAGTAAGTGGTAATTCTCTAAATTGATTTTTCGTTGCATATATCCGTTCCCACAGCAAGTGAGCGGCATATTCTGTGTCAAATCGGTTGATAAGATAAACTTCACTTCAGTGACCCATTGCAGATAGGTGTCCAGGCATATATGAGTACCTGGAAACATACCTTGTTCAATGAAACACCATGCTCGTAGTAAAGAAGTGACTGTATGTCTAACAGAAAGTACACTGAGCTATTTATATTCAATGAATGTGAATTTCATTTTGTTAATCGTTAGTAATTTATACATTTTCAAGCAACTGTGACTGTGCATATCTATATCTGTTTTTAGAAAAAGCGTTTCAACTTGCGTACCAATTTATGTCTCGAAGAAAGATCAATAGTTATCGTCATAAACCGAAAGGTAAATACCCAGTGCCTAAAAACTTTTATTCGAATGGAATTCCAACATCATACGAATAGGTAAGACCATTCATTTCAAAACTGCTTACTTAGAAATCTATCCTCGTAGTATCATTACTCACGTCAGTTCAACTCCTGCTTCAGCCCATTTCCAATTAGCACCATGCAGTACTTAAGACTCTCATTTATCTTTCACCCGTTTCCATATCTTTCATTCTTCACTTCATTTCTGATATGTCGATCTAAAATTACTCCTGATATCTTGAAATCATCTCAGATCAGATCTTAGCCCGACCCATGACTACAATAGTAAGTTATACTGTCGTTTCACGCAGGGATCCTGTCAATTGTCGCATTTCTACAACAAACGCACATGGATGAGAGCATTTTCACATCAGTAATGCCCACCTTCATACATTTGCTACTCCCATACACAAACAAATAAACGTACGACACAGTATTCTCGATATCTACTCAGCGAACCACACACAAACAAGTGGAGGATTCACAATCCAAAAGAGATCCACAACAAATCCTATACATATGTATTGGCAACTAACAAATGGAGGATTGGTACCGCGGTTGAAGCGGAACAGGCTTTATGCTTGGTAGGAATTGAAGAATGAGAAAGCATGGGTGAATATATATTATTTAGCGTTCGTAGAAACACAAGTGATGAGGAATAGAGTAAAAGAGTCTTTCACATCGTTTGTGGTTGCATTGTGTCAGAGTACCAGTCGAAAATTCTAGGAATAGGCATGTATAAGGGGAAGTGTTCACATGGTGAATTGGGTTGAATTCTACGAATTTGAATGTGATAGAATAGTCAAGATCGGGTAGATATGGGCGGCAGTGCATTGCGAAGCGATGTGTAATGTGTGCATTGATTATCACAGTGGAGGATTAGGTATGTAGACTGCCGATGCCTGTTTTTGTATGATTGTGAATACCTCCTGGTTTTATGGAATAGTCATTGACTGACGTTTTTCAATTTCAAGGGGAATGGTCGTTAACATAATGTGGATTATTTGGAGCTATTTTTTGCGAAAAGCGCTCAATGGGCGAATCACTTCGTGAGCCGTGCGACTAATAAAATGGATTTTTGAGGAATACTAACGAGTACAAAATAGAGTCAA